AAAAGTTTGAACCTTCATAATTTCGAAAATAATGATTCCTTATCAATGAATAAAAAATCATTAGAAGCATCGAATCTTACCCTTTAAAATACTTTTTTATTTATCTCGATACGACTCCCGGTTGCCGAGATATGATCGTACAAAGAAGATATAATTTTTAATCGTTTATCTGAAATCCGATTAACTCCTTTAAAATTGGAGAAACTTTGAATCTCCATAATTCCGAAAATACTGATTCCTTATCAACGGGTAAACGATCATTAGAAGCGTTGAACCTTGCTCTTTAAAACGCCTTTTTGTTTATCTCGATACGACTTCCGGTTCCTGAGATATCATCGCGTAAAGAAAAAGTTAATTTTTCAGTCGTTTACTATTTCCGCCCTCGTCGCTTACTCGAATCTCTCGCTCGCACCTTATCTCACCTGACCTATCCCTACTCCAGACAAATGACAGACATTATTCCAGGAAGACTTACGCATTTCTGGGAAAAATATGTAGGTCACTGGGTCGCGGGCCCATTCATAATCTCTGTACTGTTATTATGGACATTTTAAATCCTTATATCTCGGGATCGGATTGAGATATCGGGATAAAACAAAAAGCAATTTCAATGGCACGCTTTCCTTTGTTTTCTGAGTTGGTTCTGAGATAAAAGTTTTTTCTCGCGCTTTTTACATAATTTTAGAAATAGAAAGTGGAAATTTCATTTATAATTTTGTGTTTGACATGTATATCGTTTTATTAATTGGATATTTGAATATATTTTAATTATTATATAAAAATTGGCGAATTAGTAATGAGTTTAAAATAGAATTGCATCGTCTTTCAGGAGCAATATTTTTTTTTTTTTCCAAATAAGAAATAAAAGACTACAATATACGCGACCTGTGTTCAATCTCTGAATCGCGTACAGTGGCCCAAATATATCTATCGTAAAATCATGTGGAATTAAAACGCCGGTTGCTTGATCTGACAAACTTTCTTGAGATTTTTATAACTGTGACTGTCTTTGATAAAAATTATTTCATGTCCCAGTTTCTGTAACTAATAAAGTTTTTATAATTTTTCCAGATGTATAACAGAAAAAAATAAAATAATAAAACGTGGAGTATTATAATAATCGACAATCGATCGATTATTATTTGTTTACGGATTGCATATACAAGTCTCATAGAATTAGATATAGACAAGATACTACATTATAAAAACGTATAAAGTATATATATGATAGAAATGTCTCAAAATCATGAAAGTATCAAGCAATATTTTTCTTTGCAAAAACTTTCGTTCCTGTTTTATATAATAAACTTGTTAAACGAGAGTAAAATTTATTATTTCTCGATAATGGACATTGTTTGTTACTAGTTATAGTGAAAATTTACAGTGTCCATTATCGAAAAAAAGTAAAACTTTAAAAAAAAAAAAGTTCTAGCGTTCCAAATATGTTCGTTTTATGCAAATTTTTTTCAGAGATTAGGAAAGTTTGATAATGTTGCTTTTAACGACACGCATTAATTTTCCCTCGTAAATCAATTTTACATTGCGTAAACGACTTAATTTCGTGCAGAGATTTGTATTGGATTTAAAAACTGATAAATCATCGACGATATTAATCACGCAATCTTCTAATCTTCGATTTACGAGACAAATAATAAAATTATAATATATTTTTACATAAATCAATTATTGTAAATTTTCTTGACGAGAAATGAAATATCGAGAACTGAGTTATCTCGTGAAAATTATGCTTGACCTATTTTCTTCTTTTTCTTAATATTATCATATATCATTATACTCGGTGTTATAAAAATAGATATCGAGTCTTGAAAGCATTAAATGATTCGTTCTAATTACTCTAATTATTCATCTTTGTTCTCTTTCTCCAATTTTCTCGATTCTTCTGATATCTGAGAAATGATAGAGAGAAGTCACAACAATCCCTCGATCCAATCCTGTTATTCCAATCGTAATATTTATAACTTGAGAACACTTTCCTCGATCGAGTTAACCAAGTTCATTGCCGTACGTGGAGAAAAAATATCCGTATAAGAAAAGAATATCTTATTCCATTCCCGATTGTAACCGATTCAATCGATTCGTCTTATCATCGATCGATCCATTTTTCACCACCACTCGACGATATTTATAAGAAAAACCTGACCTCTCGAAAGAGACGACTTTCAGTCGCCTTTCGTAACTTTCTGGACCAACGATATCGATTCTCGCCTTTGACAAAAAAGCCTCGTCTTTTTAAAAAGTTTCACGCTCCGATCAACAATTGTAACCAGAAGTGCTACTCTTCGGGAGTAAGAGGGGAAAAATCGTGTCCGTTTCAGACGAGTAAGAACATGTTTGTTGTTGTTGGTTCTTGCAAATTGCGCGTGTATTTTTCTTTCCTTCCATCGGAATAAGTTATTTACACAAGAATCTTGTAAATTAAGATTTTACTTTTTATCTATTTTATTAATGGAAAGACGATTCCAGAGACAGTAGGATAAGTAAATATCATTTATTTTACGTATTCGACAAATACGATATATTGCACAATATAAACAGATTAATTAAATTAATATATTCCTTTATTGTTATTCACTTATTTTATGCAAAATTTCCTATCAGACGACCAATTTAATTTATCTTCATCTTGCCCCATCTAACGGAAACTTTAAATTGCACATAAGTTAATAAATGAATCCCAACTGACATTTATGCATACCAAAACTTTCGTTTTATTTCTAAAGGTATGAATATATTAACAGCCCGTGTAACGAAACAACGCAATAGCAATAACGCAGCAGTTACAACTTGGCGCGTGTAATATAGTTGTACACAACGCAACGTGCAAGAGACCGACGACAAGCCTCTTTAAGCCTCTCTCGTACGTCGTCTTTATAAATACTTGTACGAATGCATACGAATAAGTATATGGAAACTGGATGCAAAATAGCGTGAATTGGTCTTGATTGATCGATATTTCGTTGTATCAATCACGATAATTCGCAGTGTGAAAGAGATTAGAATTCGGTATATACACGGAATATTTACACGAGTTACTTGATTTAAAATTTAAAGTGTTTGGGTTTCGTAATCGACGAATATATATTTTTCATTGTCCGTATTTATGAAACGAAATCGAAGAAAAAATTGGAAAAAATTTACATTTGTTTTCTCGTTTAACTTTGTCGTTTCGAATAAAAGTTCGATTATATTATTTTTTTTTTTTCGTTTTGTAAATTTTGTTCTTTTTTAAATGGGATGCACTGGTTATTTGTGGTTTGATTGATTTATAAAAAAGAAAACAGTTTGAAACTTTCACGTGAAATATCTTTCAATGTCTTCAGAAACAAAATGCTAGAATTGAGTGGATCATCGAATATATTTAGAAAGTTGTACATGCCGAAAAATCATGGAATTGCTTCAGAAAACGTGAATAATTAACAGGAAAAGGCTAATCTAATTTTTTCAATATCTACTTTACTCGGATGTTAAATTTAATTTCTGAAATTGAAGAGAAAAAGAAAGAAGTAAATTTTTAACAATAATCGAATAGCTCTCGCCATACATACGTATTTAAAAATAAATTGCCGATCCAATAAAATAGGAAATTTCAGACCAAGGATCTTTCTTTATTAAGAGGTCATCCTTGAATCCTTCGATGTGGTAATTTACATATCTGTTCTAATGTCGTTGATCGTAGTCGATTGAAAGCTCGAGTCCCTGACCTTTGATCGATCAAAGCTTTCCTTGACAAAAGCGAAGGATTCTTAACGATTCGTGCAAATTTGCTTCGAGTAAAAACAAAAAAAAAAAAACAAGACTTTGCTCAAAGCCGAGAATACTTGATTTTCACCAATTTTTAATCCAATTTTCGACAATTGTTTGAAATCGAAAACTAGAGATTTAATTGTTCGTTTGTGAACGAAAAATTGAAGTGCAACGTGAATGCATCGTGGGCCTCCTAGTTGGAAACGAAGCGAGGTTGTGAAGTTCGTGAACAACTCGAAGTTGGGACTTCAAAAATGCGAGAGAGCACAATTCAACTTCGAAAAGCCGATTAAAGTCACGTGATAGTATCAATTTTGTTTGGTGACAATTTAATGGAACATTTCAAGAGAATTTAAAAAAAAAAGAAGTAAATGATATTACACGAGCAGAATCGATCAATTGATCGATGGCAATCTTTAAATAGTTGGATCGTAAAATATTTTTTTATTTTACAAAGGTTTGGAAAAAAGTATTTTTAAGTGAATGTTGTTCGAGGAGATACATTTTGTGTTGTACAATTGTTCTTTCTGATTCCTTGGTTTTCATTCTATAAGCATAGAATAAAGAACAATGTAAATGGAACAAAAGGAAATACTTAACTTCTCAATGAAACGACAAAGTGAAACGTAGTAATATAAGCAATCGTACGCGTTGTTCGATAACATCTTTTGATCCCTCGCGTCGTTTTCCATTAATTTGTAATTCGTAATAGATAAAATAAACACGGATAGGATAAAGACGATGGATATTTTCCTTTAATTCCGATTATCTCGTTAACAAATCGTTGAGATTTCATCGAATGTTTTGAAAATTTTTCTAATATTTAATATAGATACGCCATTTGTAAAAATTCCAAATCATCATTTAAAAATTCACACTAATAACTAAACTTATATATATATATATATATATATATATATATATATATATAAAATTATAAAATTTCATCCATTCGCTTAAATTGATACTTTGATAAGAAAAATAATCGTTTTGTAATCGTGAAACAGCTACATAAATAATAATAAATATAAGTAACAATCTTTATTATTTTAATAATTGAAAGGAGCAAATATTTAATCGTATCATCTGCAAAGAGAAAAGACACGAAATATCGATAAAACTGATTCAGACCGCGTGGATGGAGTCTATCTCGCCAGCATTGGGGGTGTAAACAAGATTGACAAAGCGGCATGAAAATTGCGTTTCGAATAAAGTAATAACCATTGGATACTCACAATACGTGTCACTGGTGAGTCGATCGATGGTATCCTGTTTCAACTTGCTGTTCTTCTTCCCCATGTTTCTCTGCTATCCTCTCTCTTTCTCTCTTTCTATCTCTCTCTCTCTCTCTCGGTCAATCCCTTTCTTCACCGCGTCGCAACTTGTTCTCTGTTTCTAATAATTTCTGGTCTCCAAGCAGAGTCTCTCACCGTTCGCCTCGCATCTTTCGCGGAGAGTAAACCGAATTGATCGATCACCAACCGAATTCCTTTTAAAACGTTTCGAATGTTCGAATGAAAATTGAAGAATTGTCTATTTCTCTCTCTCTCTCTCTCTCTCTCTTTGCACTTTATCCGATCTTTTCACCAACAGTTTTCTCAAACAGAGAGTCTCTTTCTCTCAATGTTCGAAAAGTAATGGAGGAAAGAGTAATTTGGATTGGATTTGTTCGAGAAAGGTCTGTATCTTCGTGGAACGACTCGAAAGGATCGCTTGTCACTCCGTGCTCGATAGGCGTCTGGAAAGGTTTGGTCTCGACAACAACAATTCGATAGGATTTCGATTCACTATTCTTCCACCGTGTCGAGGCGTGTCGCACACACGAGCCTTGGTACACACTCGTCCTTGGAAAGTATCATCGCGGAACAGGAAACGCGAGTATCGAGATCCTTCCTTCCTTTCTCTCTTCTCTCGCGAGGATTCAAAGGGATTCAATCTCTCGTGTCGACGATCCTTTTATGAAAAGTAACGAGAAGAAAGAGACGATTGTTCTAATATCCTTTGTTTCGCGTTTTTAAAATGGTTGAAGAGATTTTTTTTTTTTTTTTTTAGTTGGAAACTTTTTTCAAGGAAAGTTAGGAACAATTTTTATTAGAGGTATATCCGTGGATATCGTTGGAGGTATTGTTAACGCAATTGGATACGAATCTAGTATAGTCTACTTGATTAGATTTCAGTTTGGAATTGAATCGAAAATTGTGCAGCCTCTTCGTCGAATATGGAGGAGGAGGAGAGAAAATGTATTCTCCTCCCTTTTATAAAGTGTCTGGACGAAGGGTAAGAGGAATTTCATTTAAGGGATGGATAATATCCCTCCAAAGCCTTGGGTAAATCCTCGATGTCAAGTGGTCAGCGTCGACCAGGTTCGATCGTGGACACGCCGCTGTCTCTTTCAAAAGTGTAAACGGGATTTGAATCGAAGAGAAACGAGTTCGATTCATTCGAGGAAAATTGTTAATTTAATAAATGGCGAAGAAAAAGTCGATAAAGAACGCGTATAATAAATTATATCACAAGATTAATTAGTATAAGGCTTTTGCAATTTTATAGTTAAAAAATATTAGTTTTAATATTTTGAATATTTCATTACTTGTAACGAAACATTTGAATGTTTTTTCGTTTTCTTCTTGTATTACAGAAAGTATTTTCTTAACAAAGCTTGTTTCGGTCAGATTATAAATTGAATTTTTATAATATTATAAATCTGATTAGATAATACGTGACTTTCTTCGAAAACATTCCAAACTTTTGGTTCAATAGTGAAATTCGTTCATATAAGTGAAATTCGTTTCAATAAATCGTACACACTTTTCACGTAATAATACTTTCGTTAATAATACGTGTAATTACGGTACACAATAACCACTCTCATTCCAGTTGCTCCAACACTCAATTTTCCCCATTACATTAATCTCATTCAGAATAATTACTTCGTTATTCGTTGCATTATTCACGAACGTTTCTCTAAAGGATAACAGGCTATGTTGCGAGTTATAATCCACGAGTGAATCGTTTGCATTAAGCAACTTTTGGTTGGAACGGCTAATTGGTCAACTTTGGATCAAGTTGCAGTGCCGATCAAAAAACTCTCCATTCGTTCCATCATTTTTTGGTCCCTCGCCTTGGAAATTAAATCGTAAATGTAAACGCGGGTTAAAATTGTTTTTGCATCTTTTGATTCGACACAACTATGCTCGATTAACTTTGAATCGTCCACAACCGTCTCGTGTAAACACAATGTTAATCGAGTTAAAACGGCTTCCTGATCGTTCGAGCAAAAGTAGCTCGTTCGTCCACTTTTAATCGATCGATCCGATTGTTTGATCTAAAAGAAAAAAAGAAAAAAAAAGAAAAAATGTCTAATGTAAACGCGGCTTAATAGCTGGATCCATTTCGAGCGTTATCGATCTTTCTTCCAACGTTTCTTTTGACAATGAAATTTCAATTGCGGGTTAAAGATAGATACAAGGGAGCCTCTATTATTCGTATACATTATCTATATTTATAACAATATAAAGAGATGCTTTTCCTTACCAATAAAAATAGAATTTAATTTTTAAATTAATGTTGGACGCACGTTTATATCTAATGTTTATTGAAACGAAATCAGGAATACGAAGGAAGAAATTAGAAAATGTTACAAAATTTTAGGCAAAAATACCTATATAATATTGGAAATTCTTCTGGTTATCCCTAATTTTTACGATAAAAACATTTCTTTCACGCCATTATTCCAATTTTTGTAAATAAACCTAATTACATTTTCCTTAAAATATAGAATAATTTAAAAATCTGTATTCTTATAAGTAAATTCGGATTTTTTTCAAATTCCGGTCGATCTACTTTTTTCTTTATTTTTTTTACCGACCGAGTATTCGATTCGTGCGTTTACTTTCGAATCCGTATGGAAATGAGGCGAATTAATGCGAAAGCATTTCAAGCTGACAGAATGGAAATGTCGTGTTTCGCCTCGCATCGTGACAATTAGGCGCCATCGGCCCGATATAACTGGGGGAGGAAATCGTTTTCGGAAGTGCACGAGAGATTGTTGACATGCTTCTCGTGTTTTGCGAGGACCGTCTGAAGTATAGCGGCGGTCGACTTGAATTATTTACCCCCGGGCACAAAATGATACTCTTGGCCACGACATGCGTCGTGGAATGAACTCTAGGAATGCGCTTTTTTCCCCCACATTCCCCACATCTTACTTGCGATATTATCTCGCGGTATGTTGGAAATGGGGAATTCTGCGGTGGGACGCGTGGCTCGATCGGTAATCGGGAGTTATCGATCGAGGATAGATGACAAAAACAAGGATCAAATTCTATTGCAATCTATCTATCTATCTACGACAAGAAGCAAAATACGATCGAAATTTTTTTTTAAGTAATATAGAATGTAATCAATCAATTATATCATCGAAATATTATGAATATCTCGATGTGGAATATTAGAGGTATATAAAAATCTTTGAGATGGTGGAAATTGCAAAAAAGAATTCATTAAAGGATATTAAAGCGAAGGTAAAGCAAGTTGGACTTGTGAAAGAGAAACAGTGTTTTTCAACATTTGAATATAAGAACGATCGAGAGAGCATAAAAATCTTCGAGATTTTTACTATAGAACGAATCGAAAGTGAAAAAGCATTAAACAGTTGAAAATGGAATAAATTGGACCTATTTTAAATTTTACTCGCGGAAGAAAATTTTAAAAGTTGAAGAAAAGCGTAACAATGATGGAAAGTTTTACTCGAATTTAAAGATTCGATTGTAGATAATGGTTTCCACGATTCTTAATTTACTACTATCGCGAATTTCTATCGACTAATTCCTCGAGGGAAAGATATCTCGTGGCTGATATCTGATCTTCGAATATTCCCTCGAGAATTCGGTAAACGGCGATAGTTGAGAGGAAATTGTCAAATTTTAAGGGTGTTACGGTGAAACGAGGCCACGAAATTTCTGCTCCCCTTTGCATACACAAGATTCCTCTCACGATTGAATCAATTGAAAACACAGCAAGAAAAGGATACGCGTTGAAAGAGAATGCAAAGTTGAATTCGTTCGACGAAGATTCGATTCGTATTCGAAGAAAATAATTACACAGGTTGGAGAGCCAATTATTATTCAATATCACGGTATTGGAGTATTATCGAGTTAGTCTGGGTAGTCTACTTCGTTAGACGATATTTTCCAGAAGTAGTCGATAACAGGTACATTATTTCGATATCGTATCGTTTCTATCAAAATTATAATTCAAAATTTAAAACAACACATATTAATCAAATTGTTGTATATTACATGTACGATATGTTACGCAAACATTATAATTTGCCGGCATGCGTTGGACATGTTAAATAAGTTAAGTAAGAAAGAAATTCACCAGACTCGTGATTCGTTGCTTTTTCAAATTCGGATGGATTCCACAAATGTAATGTAATTAATCCATGTAAAAAACTTAAGAGTTTTATTTTCAAGAATATTTTTCACAAAAATGGAACTAGGTTGCGGATGCCAGACTTTTAACTTTCACTTTCGATGTCGCGTCCACTGGAAAAAAAAAGGAATACTTGACAGCAACTTTTTGTGTGATTATATCCTCGAATATATTTATATTCGAATATATTTGAATGGAAACGTGACTAGAAACGTGACAACTTCATTTCTGGGAAAGAGAAAAAAAAATATTCGTTTAAGAAATTCGATATTAAAATATCAGACATGGAATAGATCACTCGGATGTTGGTCCACGTAACACTTGCTCAACGCATCACGCATTCCGTCAGACGGTTTAACCGCGTGTCAATTACATCGAAATTGAATTTAATCTCGGTCCGTCGGATAATGTAGTCAAAGGGAGAGCAAGCTAATAGTATCTATGTATTTAGCTACATGTCCCCCCATGTACACTTCAATGAACACGAGAAACGAATTAATATTCCATCGTATCTCTTCCGAAGAAATTTAAAAAGAAAAACAAACAAACAAACAAATTCTAGCTTGAATTATCTTAAAAAAAAAAAAGAAGAAAGAAAGAGAGAGAAAACAAGAAAGAACAACGATAAAGAAAATATAAGCGCTTCAACGTTCGATAAAATAACGTGGAACATAAAAATATTCCTATTTTCCGCGTTTTCTCCGCGACGAACGCATGACAGAACGCGTATAGTTTCGATATAACGGGTACAACTCGCGGCGAAACAATTGTCAGATTCGTAAAAAGATCGACGATCCGTATGCCAGCCGATGGAGGAGGCGTTGCGGAGATTTAACTGGTCGCAGAGTGGCACTGGGTCCGTTCCATTTCGCGTATCTTTCGTGCAACGAATCGTGAGATCGATCGACACGAGTTGATCGTTGACGAATTTCAGATCGCTTTTACTTTGGCGATCTCGAAAGGGCGAGAGGCTCGTGGGCGCACGCGAGGATCGGCGGAAGAGTTGCTTGCAAGTTGGCCGTTTTCATTCATGAATTCCTCACCGCTGTCGTGGAACGATCGGTGGAAAAACGCGGACCAGTGACGTCATAGCGTCGCGGTGCCTGGCGTCAGACTGGCTCGCCGATAGCATTACGTGCCAGTGCATTGCTACTGATTCGCGCATGCGCGAGCCACTGCTCAGACCGGACAGTTCTCTCGTTCGTTCCCTCTTTCTTTACTTTCGACCTCCTACGCTCGTTCCCTCTCGCTCCCTTCCTCCCCTTTTCTCCCCATTTTCCCTCTGCAACCCTTCGTTCTACCCCCACTGCTCCTCTTCCTCGCTCTCCTCTCCTTCTCCTCCCCTCCTCAGGATACCACATGACTAATGTATCTTGACTCCTGTTTCGCTATCCGCGATGCTCTATCCGCGAGATCTCTCGTCCTATCTCCACTCCTGTCTCACTCCCTTTTTTTCCTTCTCGTTCTTCATTTCATCTGTGTTTCTTCGATGTTCAATTTACTTTCTTCCTCTCTCAATCCAGATTTCCATCCCTCGTGTGTTCACCTCAAACGAAACGTTTATCACCCGATCGCGCGCAATATCACTTCCAATCCAGTCCATACTACGTGTTTTATTTTCTTTAATTCGCTTCTACGCTTTTATCTCAGATTTTTCGATTTGAAGAACTGTTGATTAAATTTTAAACACTTGTATTTTCTTTTGCATTTAATATTACGATTTTAATTAATTAATGCGATTTGACATTACGATTTCAATTTATTTTCTGTTTGCATCATTTTAGGATATTTATAAAATTTATAATTCTTTTTTTTTCTTTTTCTCTCTGAATCTTTCTTTAATTTCATTATTTTCATAGATTTTTGGCGAAAGAATTTTCCAAGTCAACGAAATTTTAACCTAACATTTTTCCAAATTTTTAAATTTAGAGGCACAAATAATTCCAAACTTTTTGGAGTTTAACAATAATGTACCATTAACTAGTCTTTCGTTTAATAAATTTCTTTTTTCCATTCATTTAACATTTCAATGCCACTTATTTCAATCACTCCGACAAAATAAAAGAAAATCGAGCAAGCAATCACACTTTTGTCCTCCATCGTTCGATTAGGGATTTTCGTTCGTTTCGTTTCTCCTTCGTCATTTTTATCCGTCTTTAATATTTATCGTTGTCATAATATTTTATGTTTTTACGATTTTCTAATCGTTTAATAAATTAAACGATAAAATATCTCTCGTTTTTTTAAAAAATATAAAAATAACTTAATTTTTATCTATCTGTTAATTCGTTATTTTATTTTTATGCTATTATTCAGTTGCTTTGAAGCCACCATCAAAATTTCATTCGAAGTCGTTTGATTTATAATGTGTTCTCTTCTCTTAGAAATTGTATTTCTATCCAAATTGATTTTTCACCCCTCGCGTTCAATGGATTTTCGCTGTTCGAATCCCGATATTCTAATGAGAATCAATTTGTTCACGGAGAGAATCGCTCGATCGTGGTCGAGAAAGCGACGATTTATGGAAATTGGTCATTGTTTTAAGCAAATTAACCCTCTGTGATATCATGTGATTTTGAAGTCACGTATCTACGTTACCGATCGAGAGTTATATCGAATCATTAATATATTCCATAGAATCCCAGAATTTAAAAAAGAATCAAAATGACATATATCGTCAAAATCAGTTATCCGATTCTTTTATATTATATCCCAGTAAAATGAAATATCAATTTTTTTCAAAATATATCCATATCTTTCCAGTAATTACAAAACAAAAAATTTTAGAAATTAACCATTTTGCCACATCTAGTAATTTTTATTGCGTTAACGTTGTTGCATTTTTTTAAACAAAAAAATAATATTCTCACCTTACTGTTATACAGTTTTAAACAATTATTGATCAATATCGATCAATATGAACGTACAAGTAACGTAAATAAATAAATAACGATGTCGTCTCAAACTCGAATTTCACGCACTAAAACGAAATAGCATTGGTGATTTTTTTTTATTTTATACTCGGCCAAATTGAAATGGAAAATTATGCACGATCGTTTTATTACTAATGGATCAATTTGACATTACTGCTTCTCGACGTCCCATCGAATGATCGAAGAGCAAAACGGATCATTGGATCGTGCTCGACTCGAATCGATGGACTTAAAAGAAGCATCTAGGATCGGTTTCCATGAATAAAAGAGGAGAAAGCTATGTAGCTCTGAATTGATATGCCAGGTATAAAGATTCAACAACGAAATTTCCCTCGCCTTCATTTTATCGATTTTTCTTTCTTGCCCGTTCTTAAGGATGCGAATATAATCTCGAGAATTATTGTTCAGACTGAAAATTACTCTCAATACTGGTGAAAAATAAACTTTGGAAAGTTCAACGAATATATATGCTTTTAAGAGCATGAATATATTCGAGTTTCTCGAGAATTACTTCTTATTAGTGAATGCTACGTTGAGAATGAAAGGATACAAATAATATATTTCATTAAGATAAAAAACTCTCCGAAATTTTTTATTCCCTAGAATAATAAGGAAGAGTACGAATATCGAATTGAGAGTAAAATTACTTTATTTCCAAATAGTGTTTCATTCAGGTTGAAAATTACTATCGATACAAAATTCCATTTGATATTTAATTCTTTAAAGATACCAAAAAAAAATAAATATTGTAAAAAAGAAAAATTGTCCAGCAACCAAATGAACGAAGGACAAATTCTCGAAATTTTCATTAACTCGATTTTTTCGAGGAATACTCTTCTCTCTTCTTGATTTGACAAGCTCTCAATAATTCAGAAAATTGTACATTTCTTAAATCACGGCCATATCATAACAGATTATATATATGTATATATATAAATTTGTAGTACATATTTCTATCTTGATCTTCTGCCTGGAAAAATATGGAGTCGGCTTATCTGTCAAAAGTATCTGATCTATTCGATTTAGTTCCTATTTTCTCGTCAGCGCCTTGAGAGAACAACATCATTCCTCCCGTCTTCGGATTGAGGAGGAAAGTGCTTGAACAAACATTGAGGGAAAGACCGAAACAAGGTCGAAAGAGCGTAAACGGAACAGCACAGTCAGCAGTTTCTTGAGGAAAACAGTTCTCCCTCTAATACAGAATTCATCAAACTTCCTGAGTAAACGATTAACGTTAAGGATACAATGTAATTGAGAAACATTTGACTTTTACGTCAGATCTTAACACACAGATTTGTTCTTATTTATTATTGTAGGATACATTAAGATAAAAAAATTCTGGATATCGATCGGAGAATCTTTCTTTCTTTTCGTATTTTAATTTTCTAATTTTATTACTAATTTATTACTAATTCGAAATGGAACAGATAGTATTAGTTCAGCAGCTAATAAGATGTAGGATATATCTAGTTTAATTTTTCTTCTATCTAATTATAATATAACATATAATTAGTAGCTTAAATACATCGTAAAAAATACGATAATTAGAAAAAAAACTGTTTCAAAACAAAAATCTACATTAAAACTTAAATTTTTTTTAAAATAAATTTCCATTCGATCGAAAATGTATAACCAATGCTGTATCTACTTGGCATTGTAAATAATTACGCAAAAAGGAATAAGGGATTGTCTTGAGAACTTCTTTAATTTTTAGAAAATTCTTTCATTCTATTAAAAACAAAATTTTCAATTAATACCGTACCTATTTAGTATATTGTAAACCAAAAAAAAAAAAAAATTAAGAGAGAATGGTTACGCATAGAGGAATGCAATTGAATCGGAAGGAGAAGCAAAAGCTTCGATTCGAGGGAAAGAAGCGTGCGGCCATCCGCATGGAGTTTACGTTAAAAGCCACGTGGAAACCACGGCTGTGAATAGCCGATACTTTTACGCGTGAAAGCCTACGCTCTCTCAAGTTAACTTTTATCAGGGCATCCAAAACTCCTTTTTTTTTTACCCCTTGGACACTTCTTTCCATGGTCTTCGTCCACGTTGCGACACGAGGTCGGATTCTCCGCGAAAATTACGTCTTGGATCGTTGTATTTAAGCTTGCGTTGCACAGTGTGCCACGTAACCACTGCGCGCTTGTCTCAAGCACGGGCCAAGAGTTCTTGAAATGCTGTGCAAACGACGTCGGCTCAGCAATGAACACGTTCCACAGATTTTCTAACGAGTTCCAACGATATCCATAATGGGACGATGCTATGCATCCTTGAAGAATAAGAACGAGTGGAATGTAGTTATTATTGGGGGGAATATTTATTTTTTATTTTTCACTTTTTCTTTTCATCAGGTTAGGTTAGATTAGACTTTTTTTAAGAATGCTATGCATTCTTGAGGAATAAGAACGAGTGGAATATATTATTATTATTATTATTGAGAGTATTTCTTTCTATTTTTTTGTATTATATAGGTTAAATTAGATTTATGGCGGAAAGAAAAGATAAGAGTATTTTTATTGATTTCATGGAAGTTTTGAAAAATGAATAAATTTCACGTATATTGAAAAATTTGATTTTAATGAAAATTTACGTGTATCTGGAGGATAATGGTGTTATATGCTTTTAAGCATTTGTGGAATTCAGAGGAAGGCCAAAGTTCAGGCGTTGATCGAGCTCGAGCAATCTTGAATGAGGAAAACTTTATTCTAATCTCTTTTTACAGATATGAATATAACCTTTCTTTCTTTCAAAAAAACTGCTTTTTTTAATTCAACTAGATAAAAGTGTTGATACAGTGATTTATTTTGAGATAGAAAATTTGTTTTACTTGAAATCGATTCTCTTAAATTTTATCAAAAATCATATAATAGGATAATTAGGATTAAAAAAGTATTAGAATCTAATTTCTATCTTGTATCATTTAGAAAATTATGGAACTTTAAGGTTAGGTTTCATTCTTTCCAAGTAATATTCGATTAATGAAAAAAATATAATCCATAATGGATAATACATATTCAATACAAAGTGTTTCATAAAACAGAATTAAACTAGAATATTTTCTAAAATAACAATTTTTTTTTTAATCTTTGCTAATTCGTTGAATACAGAATACAGAATATATTATACATAAGTATATTCA